CTACACGTATGTACCAAGTTTCGTGGCAATCGGTTCAGCGGTGTCCGAGTTTATTACCCCCAAACAAACAAACAAACAAATATATATACAAACATCCTCTTTTATACTTATAGACTCGAGCACCCTATTGGTATTTGACGACACAAACACGTTAAAATATATACATAATAAACTATTCAATTTGGAACATTCTAGGTCAGAATGGCAATAAACAACTTTAAACGACAATAGAATGGTCAAGCCTTGTGCAGATATTACGCTATAAAGATGAAAATGTAGTGCTTTAACGAATTGAAGAAATGTCTTTGTTAAAATACATTCCTAGGCAGAGTTGATAATTGTTTAGCAATAATATGCGTGTGTTAATCACATATGGTTAATAAGTTTGTCTATAACAACGTTTAGTATTTAGCTTTGAAATCATATTTAATTTTAATAACAATTTTCCTCATTTATATCCTTGTCACATTTTTCTGTCACATTAGACCTAGTTAATTATAAATTCAAGTTGCACAACTTCTTTTTTTACATTACAAACGAAATATTTCCTTTCGAAAACGTTTTTTTTTTTGTCAAAATGTGGGTCGTGCCGTGGTGTGTTCTCGACGCAATACTTGCAGCACACGCCTGGCTCTACATTGCTAGACAGTGCCTTCAACGGGCCACGTTATACCATAGATTAAACATACAAGGGGGTATGTTTAATCTATGGTTATACACAGCTTTAATCTGTTTAATGGTTAATGATATAGAGTGCATGAGCGACACAATTATTTGTGGGAATCGAACATTAGGAATTTGCTATATATTAAGAAAACATATATATTATTTAATATAACTTTCAAAGACAAAACAAATCTACAATTTTAGCGTAAATTCCAGGATCTGCTATAGAGATACCATATGTTTATTCACGTGTTAGAAAATTACCAAATCTATTTATAAATCCCAAAGTACCCATGAACTGTTGAGAAAACTGAAAGTCACACCCCTATAAATCATATACTAAAAATGTTCGTTATGACGAGAAACCTTGCGCAAAACTATCCATTATTTCATAAATTGCCCGTTAAGGTCGTAATGCCTTTCTAAAGGGAACTTTCCATATACCTAATGTTAAAAAATACCTCAGCTGTACTTATTTGTTTGTTATTCTTTCAATTTATTAACTTACCTTATTAAAATCAGGTGTGATTATTTATTTGTATAGGCCTACTGTATTCCATTTGTTTTTTATTTTAGCTTAACTTAACCAATCAATAGTTTTATTAATACTTATGAAATCAAACGGGGTGTGAGGCCTGTGGGTACAGCTAGTGTACTTTAATGTAATTTTCAAAGACAAAACGAATCTACTATTGTACCTAGTATAAATTCCAGGATCTGCTATAGAGATACTATATTAATGCTATAATGTATTGTAGAAAATCTTAAACCCGTAAAATGTAACAAAGGTAATGTGATTAATGCTTAGGAAGAATAATAGTTTTCCTGAAGAATTTTAAAGATCTGGTCTCAGTTGAAAATGGACAAATCAATTTTTATTCCGCCAGAACTATCTGCATTTTTTTCACAAAACATTCCTCGAAAACCAGTGTTTAAGCAGGTAACAATAGTAAGACAACATGGTACTACTTCAAAACTTGGTGCAATATCAAAACTGTGCTGGAAACCTCAACACATCGCATGTACGTATGTTTGTACAGATCTCATACATGTGGCTGCGCAAACTTTCAGCCTTTTGTATGAAAAACTAACTAGGACACATGGTGTATTCTGTTTGTGTGGCATAATAATGTGTAAATAATTTGTATTATATAAAAAGTCATACAGTACATACTATATGATGCTTGTACAAATTTTAACTGCTTGAGTTGAGATATTTAGAACATTTATCGTCAGAGATATTGAAGTGTTGAGCAGTTGTTTATTTGTTTCCTAAAAAGTGAGACACTTAGATAAAAATGATTATAAAATTATTTTTGATTAAATAGTGATAATAATTTTTCTTTTTAGTAAACATAATTACATTTTTGACATGTTAGAAATTGTTGTGGGGAAAGCCTTTGATTAGGGAAATATTCATAAGGATATATATTTGAATTTATACGAATAATATTTTTTGCCTCTGGGAACATCAAAACAAGAAAGTAAATCGGCCCCGGGTATACGTCTTACCACGAGACCTCCAGTAATAGCTTACTGCACATACAGGATATTCACTAAAAACAATACAAAAGTGACAATTATTTAATAATTATTTTTCAAACCAATTTTCTTAATACGTAGTGATGAGGGTCTTTTACTCTGTGGATCAATTTCTGGAATTACCTTATTTTTATTTACAACCAAAAGCAATTAATAGCTCTAGATAACTTTATTAGTCATTTTATTTTGTCCTAATTTAGTTTAATACTAGTTACAGACCCCATAAAATGTTTATGAACAGTGTAGATTTTAATACCTTGAAATGCATTTACTATGCACATATACATTCCTATCTAAGTTATGGAACTAGTTATGGAACCTTATCTAAGTATGGGAAGGAAGTAATTATAAAAAAAAAAAACTGTTGTCATTGCAAAAACGAGCAATAATAATCATGTACAATGTTGATTTTAGTACACACTGTAAACCATTATTTAGGGAGGCTAATATTTTAACTGTACAAGCAATGTATATTTTAGACTGCCTTGTGTTTGCAAAAAATAGTTTTAGTAAAACAGACACACATGAAAATGTACACTGTTACAACACACGAAACCGCTGCAATTTTATATCTAGACAGTGTCGATACAGCACCACAGCTACTAGTTTTATTGAAAAATCCAAACAGTATTATGATATGTTACCTAATAGAATAAGATGTTTTAATTATTTTAAATTTAAAATAGTACTTAAAAACTACCTATTAAACCTGTGTCCATATAAAAAAATAGACTTCATAAATGATGTTAAATTAAACCTAAGTTAAAACCTTTAGTTCTAAGACATTTCCTTGACTGTGCCATGCATGTAAACCAGTGTAACGGCAATAAAGCATTCTTATTCTTATTCTTATTCTATGTTTACTAGTTTTCTGTACGATAATCAAAGACTATTGCAATACAATTATGTAAACTATTAATTTACAAATGAATCGATTTGTATTTAAAATATAATTTGAACATAGTATGCAATTAACTGAGTTTTATGAAAGAAACTAACGTAAATTTTATACTACTTAAATGCTTGTTTTGTAGTAAGGGTGAGAACCCTTGGGCCGGGTTCAAATCCCACCAATTGCCAACAGAGCTATGTGGTGAAACCACTCAATTATTTCATAGACTACTTAAAATTTTAGGTCAATTCATAAAAAACAAATCGATGTATCAGTCAAAAACCTGATAACATCGATAATATTATATATATCGAGAATAAACGTATACGAAATACAATGCGATATTTTTTACGTTCAATGTAAACAAAGTAGTTATTAAAGTAATAATATATCGCAAGGAAATTGTTTTCTAAATTAAAACCTCCTCTTCTATCAAAGAAGATGTTTTAATATTTCTTACCAGGCTTAACCAAACATGCAATATTTTCCAGTATATCTTTTAAACGGTGACTAAGAAGGTACAAAAATTAAGCGTGTTTAAGATTCTTCAACGCGGTCTACAAAGGTTGAAACGTGTCCGTTTTAATTAAATTCCCCTGTTAAAAGTTGTATAACCTTGTTTGGGGTGAATAACTTCTACTGTAACTCATAATTTTATTACATTGTTATAAGTTAAAGCCAAAGTAAGTGATTAAATATATGACTCGCATTTTATAAAACCTTATGCGATTTTCGAAATATTATAAGTAGGTAATGAATTTTATTGTAAAGCCAACAATTTCAGGACTAGAAATAAAAAATTGTCAACTTTGTACAGTTGCTTCAGGCTAACCATTGTTTTTATTTGTTGTTTGATACCAATATAATATATATTATTTTCAAACGGAGAATTATTATTGACGAATATTTAGTATGAGGTGTTGTTACCGTACAAAATTCAAAATTCATATGTTTAGAATTGACAAAAATGTTCAAATGCTAAATCAGTCACATGATCAGATAAATGATTGGATCCAGTTCCAATTTCGCGGCCGACTGACGAATAAAGTGTGGATCAACTTCCATTAACAATGATTGGCAAATTACTTGGTCATTCAGTCTTGTTGATATTATATGGATAATGTATCGACCAAATATTAAGATAACTTTTGTTGCTAATTTAGAAAACAAATAATGTTCCAAAGATACGGATTCCAAACATGTCTCGACGCTCGTTCAATTATCGTACACCAACCTTCAAAAATGTATATAGATGTAAGTTTAAGACAATTTCGAGACTTTGGGATCCTAATAAAATGTCATTTCAAGTGTGTTGCAACTGTGTCTCAAATACAATACATTAAAAAACGCCCCTTAAAATAGTTTCATGTTCACTTTTATGACAGATGCTAAAATAATGTCTTTAGGGTGTTTATCACCGAAAAAGGTTTTTTAATGGGAATATTGTCATAAATATATAACAGACGAAATAATTATGAAAGCATAAATCAACAATTTTGAAGCACAAACCTCGTTAGCAAGCATCAAATGTTGAGGCTGCTGACTCAGACATAATAAAGATAAGATTGCTTCGTCAAATATTTTCACTCTATTACCACTGTTAAATTTTTAAGCCCTACCCTACTTTTAGATGGCTATTTTTTCTTGTTAATTGTTTGTTGTCACTTTCGTTTGTTGAGACGGTAGAAATCTGCAAAGTAAAAATGTGCATGTAGCTGCTTTATTAATGTATCTTTATCGTATTGGTTTAAATGGATCAATTGCTCTGAAAAATCTTACCTATAAATATTATTACTACGTACAACCGCAAGAATACTGTAGTTTGGCAAAACAAATCACAAAACCGTTTTTTAGAACAATATCTGTTAAATTTGACTTTGCTGCTAGGATACCCATTTTACGACACATTTCACACGTACATGAACAAACAAGAACATGAACAAGTTAAATAAAATGTATACATCAGCCAGAGCGTTTTCTCTTGCTACAAAACATGTGAAGGTATGTGAGAATGTTAAAAATCACTAGGAAGTAGTCACAAAAATCATTGCGATTGTTTGTGCACGAAGAATAGGTTACATGTAAACGTATTTCATAGCTACATACTAAGCCACGGAGTTCCTTCAACCGTTTCTATTTCATCCACATCCGGATGTCAAAGAATTTAAAGAACACAAAATAAATTGGTAGCTAAAACATAGGTTTTTACACATAACACTAATAATTTGTGTAATAAAAATGATTTAGAACATCAAGTTTAGAGTGGAACTACAGCAAATATGTGTGGTACAAATGCCCTTTTTATCCGTTGAGATTGGAATCAAATGGATGACTGACAGTCTTAGTGTCAAGTTATACACTTATATTATAATGTATTGTGATCAACAAAAGACAAATAGAAAAGGTTAAATTACCTGTTGTCACCTTGTAGTCCAAGTTTTGACTCAACGGTGTATGCATATTTCTGTTTTTCAGCCATCATACGATCCTGAAACACCACACCAAAAATAAAAATAAAATTAAAGCCCAAGTTTTGGAAAAAAATACAATTGACAAATACTATTGTTAGGCACGTGGCATATACAGTAAAACGATCATAATAATCGTTTCTCAAAAATTATTCTATATCTTCTAATTTCAAAATGCATGTATTGATAACTCTATTCTAACGTTACACTGATCGGTCAACCATCACTAGTTTGACATCAACTGTCTGTGAGTCAGTAGCTCAGTCGATACTGCTACGAACTTCGAATTTATAACAGAGATGTAGTACTTTAGATTCTGGTAGCTGCCAAATATTTTATCAGTACTGTACCCCCTCCCCTGGCTTTGCTGGATATGTCCGATGCACGGGCCCAAAGCATATGTTGACGGGTAAATTTAAGGTTAAAAGACTCCACCAACATCTTTTTCATAAAGCAATATGTTTAAGACTACTGATTTGTCCAAGAAATCTGTGAGATATCTATCTTAAGGTATACACACCTCATGTATATGGTGACAAGGAGTCAAAAGACAAAAAAAATCATTTAAAGTGGTCACAGGATCAAAATAATATTCTGTATTGTTACAGACTCCACCCATCAACCTAGAGATGGCTCTGGTGAAAGGATCGAAAGATATCTCCGCACTAGTGGATCTATACAGCAACACATACATGAAAGAAGAGCCTATGGTGAGAGCTGCGGGGATAACTGACTTGAGGGAGCTGACGTCGTTCGTCAGCACGGCACTGGAGAGTCAGCACTCGGTTTTGCTAAGGGAGAGATCGAGTGGTGAGGTGGTAGCAGCGGCGAGTGGTGGACCCGTCACGTCCGACACTCATGAGCATCTCCGTTTCTACGCAGGTGGTGTACAACAGTAGCTAGAGTGTTATTGTATTCATATCATTGAAAGGAAGACTCACTGCCAAATAAATTCTCATTCTCTTAATCATATGTAGCTGCTGCAGTACTCAAGGTTTTAAATTTCTTTCCCATTGCATTTCCTGAAAGTATGGCCGTAGTTTTTCCACTCGTTGGTATCTTATTTAAAATGTTTCAAAGAACGGTTGCTCAAAGTAACCCCAGAGGGGCCACGTAGTTGTACTTGTGTTGGTAGGATGCAAATGGTGTAACGTTGGAATTTCTTTTCTCGAGAAAAAGTTTTACGCGATTGTTTGGTGCTTTTCTATGGATATCTGTCCGTCAAATAATTCCGCAACAATTTCGTAGATGCTATCAGTTCAACAGTCCCTGTTTGGGCGCCAAATTTGTGACGTGGACTTTCTTCAAACGTCGTAATTACTAAATCTTCTAAAGCCGGGTTTTCCTAGGCGCGGAATCGGCGAGCGGAGAGAGGAACCCGGAAAGCGGACTCCACTTGTCTTAGGCAATTTAATGTTACTGTCTTCCTAGAAGCGGAGTGGAATGCAATGTTAATTTCAATTCCGCTCTTCGCGTTCCTCTCTCCGCTCTCCGCTTCCGCGTCTAGGAAAACCCAGCTTTAGACTTCACGTTGGTTCAGATCAGGTGTGAATCCAACGAGGAATAAAGATAGGCTCATTTTCGTGTCATATGATCAACATGATTCAAATTCATAACAAGTCTTTATCATTCCCACAGATCGGACAATGAAAGAGCCTCGCAGCCAGCGCCTTGTGCATCTCTGGGCCGACGTCATGTTTCAGTCCCGTCAGCTACAGAGCCTACACCTGTCTACACTCTGGGACGTGTCGTTCCTCGCCACTACACCACGCATGCGCAGACTAGGTCTTGCGCAGTTCCTGGTGACTCAACAGCGCCGACTCGCCACCAGACTGGGCTACAGCGCACTCTCACTCTACAGCGCATGTCCCCACACGGCGCAGCTGGCTCTCAAGCTCGGGTGTCACGGGCTGGGGGCTCGGCCCCTCGGGAGCTACCATGACTCTACCGGAACACCTTGGGTGGCAGGAGAAGACCTGGTGGAGTTCTTCTACTGCGTGCTACAACCTAGAAGAGACGGCACACAACATACTACACATAACGCTGAATATACTAACCAGTTTAAATAGTACATTCTACGTCATTTATTTTAATATAGGTATAACACTGGGTGATGCAAAAATATTTCTAATGGGGTAAAAACATTTGTATGCTATAAGCATTGAAAGTTTAAAATTGTCTTCAACATACCAATACACAAGTAATCAATGTTTTATGATGTCTTCAGAGACAGGAATATTTTAATGTACTAAAATGATCTTTTTCTTCCACTATGAATAATTTCTTCTTAACAAATAGTACGACATATAATAATTAACAGATTGGTTGGCCTATGTCAGTAAAAAATCCAAAACAAATCAATTACGCGGTACTGTAAAATATTGTTTTACATACAGGATGTCGGATTAATTAATGGCTTTATGCTGAACATATAGCTTTTTAATTCCTGAGTTACAATAATAAAACTACAGATAAGACTTTTCTATATTTTTTAATTAATTCGTACGGGGTTCAATCCTACTAGGTATGCAATTATTCTATGATATATTTAGCAGTATTTTATTATTTGTGGTAGTGATATTCGATACCTTTAGTCACTATATATTATAGTGATGAAATTGGATGAATAAATAAAATAAATAAACAAAACAAAGAAATTTTTTTTACGTGAGCCTATCTTCTTTTGTAAAATAAATCCCCGCAAAAACACCAATGGATTTTGTATAGCATAATAATTATGATTAATAAAAACGAGTTTAATTACTAAAAGAAAACTTACCCTTTTGTGGTGAAAGTATTTTTATTTATCGCACGATATTCACCAGTATTTATCTTATATTATGATGACTTAGAATGTACTAAATTAAACGTGTTTAACATTCTTCGAGGCGTTCTACTAAATGTTAAAACGTGTTCGTTTTAATTAAAGTCTCCTGTTAAAAGTTTTGCAAAGTTAATGTTGGGGGTAAAGAACTTCTACTGTAAATCTTAAATCATATTAATTATCGTTGGAAAAGGATCGAAGAGCATGAAAAATAAAACGATACATTTTATTTATCTTCCAAGTCCAGTTATATGGTGTATAAAGACATATATCGTATTTATTAAATACGTATAAACATTTTTGAAAAAATACGAGTTTACCAATATTAATGAATTTTATTTTGGATTTACATATAGAAGATATTTAATTATTCTTACCAAAACTAAATAAAAACCAGCATTCATGTAGGAATACACTTTTCAAAAAGGTTTTGAACCATTATCGATGTTTTACGTCGTGGATATCACAGTAGTTTTGATTGATGGAATATGTTCAAAAAATACCAAAACATTAAATTAGGTGCAAAAATGAAAAACTAGGGAAAAATCAGTCACATGATCAAATAAATGATTGGATCTAGTTCCAATTTCGAGGCAAACTGACGACTTCAGAGTGGGTCAACATTCATTGACAATGATTGGAAAATTACTTGCTCATTTAGACTTGTTGGAGATATTCAGAGGGAAATATATCTGTACTTGTGATATAAAAAACAGTTTCTTTTTGAGAGAAACCAAAGTAATATTTTTAGTAATTTACATAAAAATCTTGGTGAAGTTCAGCAGGCAAATTTATTTCATTACTAAATGAATTTTGAAAAAAAAAGAGTTTTACTACACGTTTATGATGCTATTTAAAAATGTGATTGGTATAAACTTAAAACAAAAATGTGCATACCATACTTAATTGGATTTCATAATAATATGGATGTGAGTTTATACAAATCTTATCATGCTAAATAAAACTATGTTAAGACTTTATGCGTAAATATTTTGCTCTCCATATCCATGATTGGACTTTTTATTTTTGCATCAATAAATAATACAATTTAGAATCCTTAAAGATACGTTTACTTTTAACGTTCAACATACTATGAAAACATCATACAGTTTCAAGAACTAAATTATAATTGCTATTGAAACGCAAACCTTGTTAGCAAGCATTAAATGTTGAGGCTGCCGACTCAGACATAGTAAAGAGAAGATTGCTTCGTCAAATATTTTCACTCTATTACCACTGTTTAATGTTTAAGATCCACTTTCCAGCTGTTTATTTTGCTCTTACCAATTATGGGGTGGTGAAAGCTACTCTTAATTGAGGGATAAAGAAAGGAGGAGGTTTATTTCGTACAATAGGATGATATTTGTTGAGTAAGCTTAAACAAAATATATTAATAAAAATATTGTTTACATTAGCAATTTAACAGGCCCTTTAAATTGTAGGAAGCTTACATTAGATATATGTTTTGATATATGTTTTGATATATGTTTTGTGCGATACATAATACTACCCTACAAGACTTAAAATTATTACCTAAAACTTGTATTGCAGACGGTGAATAATCATTTCGTTCAAATAATTAATCATTTGCAGTATGCAGCTCTAGCTTGTATGACAATTATAGAATATATACAAAGTTCGACAAAATACAACCCATAAGAACAGGCACATATTACAGTGTAGCGTAATTGTTTGTACCCGTTTTGGATTTTCAGACAAAATTTGGATACTAATAAAAAAGTGTATTACTACATATAGAGGTATAATGGTTTGGGTTTCCTGGTGTAACCAATTAAAAGCGAAAAGGCGGTGTTCATACTTTTTTTGGGAACTTGTTTGGATATGAAGGGTTACAATAATTATGGTCAGTTTTGAAAATTCTGCTCTTAGGGGTGCGGGGGTAGGGGGTAGCTAAAATTTTCTAATATCAAGTATAGTCGAGTTTGGTATCATTTTGTAGGTCTTGAGAAAGTATAAAAATTAACGTACAGAAAATTGAAATTGGACCATCAATAACAAAATGGCAGTTCAAAATTACTTTAAATGACCATCGTCTCAACCATTTTTAGCTGCCATTTTGTTAATAATGGTCCGATTTCTATTTTATTTTCGTTATTTGTTATGTTCCGTCGAGACCTGTAAAATGATACGAAACTCGACTATACTTGCTGTTAGAGAATTTTTAGCTACCCCCTACCCCCGCTACCCCTAAAGGCAAAATTTTCAAAACTGACCATAATTTTTGTAGCCCTATATTTCCAAACAAGTTACTGCAAACCGATTTAAAATATCTCAAATAGTTAAAAAGTTAAAGAGGGTGCAAGTTAATTTTTTGCCACCCTTATGGTTATTTGGATTCGAAACGTTTTAGGGCGCCATTTGGTTATTATTGATCCGATTTTATGTTTCGTCAAGACCTGCAAAATGATACCAAACTCGACTATACTTGTCATTTTAAAATTTTGAGCTACCCCCTACCCCCGCTACCCCTAAGGGCAATATTTTAAAAATTGACCATAATTTTTCCAGCCCCTCATATCTAAGAAGGTTGCCGCAAACCGATTTCAAATAATTGAAATGGTTGAAAAGTTAAGGGGGGCGCAAGTTATTTTTCAGCCACCCTGTATATTGAGGTTGAAGGTATTTGTGACCTAAAGTTTTAACTTGAGACAAAAGAATAACTCCAGTTTTATTATACAACGACAAAAATGTTAGATGTGTCATACAAGTTCTTCGCTTATACTTTTAGGTATATTGACAATTCACAAGTTTGAGCAATAACTTCAACTCTGAACAAGTGTTTCAGCTAGAGTTTGTTGCCTCAGTTTAAATTCTAGCCAGTATTTCTGTACTATTGTTTCCTCAACTTATTACAGCGCTTTAAGAACCTTTATAAAATTACTACTTACGTTTTAAATCATAATTACCTTGCGCTGGTCTATTAAGGTAGAAGTTGTCCACTTGTAATAATAAGCTGAATTTAAAATAAACTTTTAAGTGATTGCAAACTTAAAATTAAATAACATTTTACAAAACAATAGGGTGGAATTTAAATGCAAATTTCACACTAGAAAAACGAATGTAACATGTCAAGATGGGGCCTACTTTTACACGTCAAGCCATCATAGGAAGGGTCATAAATGTGTAATATATCCGCAATGCAGCCAGGTATCTCAGGGGGCTACTTTTGGGTGTGACTTGATAAATATATGATAACACATCTGCCACAGCGTGTGGTTAGTTGTAAATGCATTTAACACTTTTATATGAAAAACTCCGGGACCTTTGCTTTACATGTCTAAAAATATTCCTCTTAAAAATTAACAAAATTAAGAATCCTATACAATGAATAGTCACAAAAAATATCCCTCTAGACTATTTTATGATACTTTTACATTAATAATCATTGTATTCGTCTGTAACCAACCATCTAATATTATAACTACAGTATAACAGTTTCAAATCATAGCTCAAGCATAATCCGTAAATGTTCAAATTTCACATTATAAAACCGTGCCTTACTAAAGAGCTCTTAGCTAAACTGTTTTGCAGTCAGATCGTTAGGAAAGATTATTAATTACACAACAAACCCCAATCAAGCCATCAATAACCAGTGAGAATCCGCTGGTTCATTAATTTTAACTCCACATAAAAAGACTGATTTTCTGTCTCTCGTTTTGTTTTGTAGGGTGCATACATACACGTGCATTCTTGGTTTAAAAGACACATATTTATGTTCTTACTTTCGATAAATGTACGTTAACTTTCCCGACTCATATTTAACATATACATTATTTTATTTTTAGAACGAAACCTAATAAAAACATAGAACTTTCAATTGTAAAAAGGAAGTTTTTACTAAACTATTTAACCAAAATCCCTCTTCTACAAATTATTACAGTGTTGGTCATCCTACGAATCACTTAAACTTTTGAATCACAGTATTAACATAAAAATAGCCTACCTTGAGCTTAAATACTACCTAACATCTACTTAACATAAGAGGGTCTTATGTTATGCGTAAGTGACACCGTAGGACTACCTATTAATGTTAAGTACCATAACCATAACATGCATAATTGAGATAACTATGATATTTATGCTAGCATTGATTTACACATATTATTACAGTGTTGGTCATCCTGTGAATCACTGGAACTTTTGAATCACAGTATTAACATAAAAAATAGCATTAGACCTATTTAATATACCTTGAACTTAATACTACCTAACATCTACTTAACA